GTCGGGTCAGGGAGAGGATCACCATCGGTAGCACGGAGGTGAACATTGAGCTCCATAGGAGTCTCAACAATGCGCTCGTCAGTAAGAGCAGCACGAGCAAGAAGATCCTGGATATACTTTTCCTGGGATATAAAAAAGCCATCAGAGGTAGAAGAGACTTCAATCCCAAGAAAGTAGCGAAGAGGTCCAAGATCAGACATAAGAAACTGCTCACTAAGACGGGCCTTTACAAAGGCACTATACTCGGGGTCATCCCCAGTGATGATCATGTCATCAACATAGAGAAGAAGAAGAGTCCGACCACGAGGAGAAAGGTGAATAAACAATGCTGGATCGTGAGCACTTGCTGAAAAACCAGCGGCAGTGACCACATAGGCAAAACGCTCAAACCAGGCGCGGGGGGCTTGCTTAAGGCCATAGAGAGAGCGACGAAGACGACATACCATGCCATCAGGAACAGAATACCCAGGTGGTGGCTGCATGTACACCTCCTCACGCAGCTCACCATTAAGAAAGGCATTCTTAACATCAAGCTGAGATATAGACCAGTGGCGTGCAGAGGCAACGACAAGAAGTGTACGAACAGTGGTCATGGGCCACAGGAGCAAAAGTCTCGTCATAATCGCGACCATGATCCTGCTGAAAACCACGAGCCACAAGACGAGCTTTGTGACGCTCAAGAGAACCATCAGAGCGAGTCTTAACCTTGTAGACCCACTTACAAGTGATGGGACGGACGCTGGGAGGAAGAGAAACAAGATCCCAGGTACCAGTGAGCAGCAATCTCCTCTGCCATCGCAAACTACCATTCAGGATGAACAACAGCCTGACGGTAAGAAGTCGGCTCAAGAACAGCAGCACCAATGGTGGGAAATCCAAAGCGATCAACAGGCGGACGAGGACGAGAACGCAAGCCATAAGTAGGCTGAGAGGAAGATGACGACGCATCCACAGAGGCATCCACAGGTCGTGAACGACGAGTGTAATGCTGAGGAAAAGATGGAACAATAGAAGGAGGAATCACCAAGGTAGAATCAGGGGGTGGCGACGAAGAAGTCACCGGAGATGAAGGTGTAGAATCAGGTGACATGCTAGGCGTGGAGACCGGGGAAGATGGTGGCTGCAAATCGACTAGAGGTGGAGAAGCAGAGGGAGTGGAACGAATAGGCACAGGCTCGACGGGGGTGATAGGTGAGTCAGGAAAAGTGAGGAAAGAGATATCCTCCACTGAAAAAGTCGAGGAAGATGGGCGTGGGTAGAAGGGACGAGACTCATCAAAAGTCACGTCTCGAGAGATACGCATCCGACGACTGATAGGATCCCAACAACTATAGCCCTTATGCTCATCACTGTAGCCTAAGAAGACACACTCAACAGACTGAGCGGTCAGTTTGGTGCGTTCGCGATGGGAAAGAAGAACATAGCAAACACAACCAAACAAGCGAAGCATCGAATAATCGGGAGAACGATCAAAAAGACGCTCGAAAGGAACACCACCCTGTAGAGCAGCGGAAGGCTGTATATTGATAAGATAGGTGGAGGTGGAGACGGCCTCAGCCCAGAAATGAGGCGGGAGAGAGGCGGCGATCATCAACGCATGAGCCGTCTCAAGAAGGTGACGATGCTTGCGCTCAGCCACACCATTCTGAGCATGAGCACCGGGACAAGAGAACTGAGCAAGAGTGCCCTGCTCAGCAAGAACTCCACGCAACATCTTGGAGATATACTCTCCAGCAGAGTCAACACGGAACACACGAATAGGCGTAGAGAACTGAGTGTGAACCATGGCAGCAAAACGCTTATAGATAGATAAGACCTCACTACGAGAAGACATAAAATATATCCACGTGTGTCGCAAGAAATCATCTATAAAGATAATATAGTAGCGATGACCTCCCTTCAAGGCAAGGGAGCTGGACCCCAAACATCAGAGTGAACAAGGTCGAAAGGACGCCGAGACACAGTCTCACTATGAGGATAAGGTAACTGGACCTGTTTACCAAGCCGACAACCCTGACAGTCTAAAGACACACCGCCGGAGACGGATCCAAGAAGACCACGTCGAACTAAGGATGAGAGACGAGAGCCACATAAATGACCAAGGCGATGATGCCACTGCTGAAAAGAGCTGGTAGACAAGGCAACAGTGGTGGAGAGACTGGCGGCGGTGGCAACGGATGGAAGGTGAAGCCAGTCAAGCTCCCAGAGACCCTGAGAATCACGGCGCCGGAGGCCAGCACCAAGAAGAGCACCAGTGTGACGGTCTAGAACGGAACATGAGTCAAAGTCGAGAATGACCCTGCAACCAGAGTCAACAATCTGACCACCGGAAATGAGCTGCGTGGTAAATCGAGGAACATGAGCAACATCGGGAACATGAAAAGATGAAGTGCTAAGAGTGCCTCGACGAGTAACTGGGAGAGAGGTACCATCCGCCGTAAAAACATGAACAGGAGAATCGAGAGGTCGAGTAGAGGACAGAATGGATGAATCATGAGTCATATGAAAAGATGCTCCAGTATCAAGAATCCACGGAGATGTACCTGCTTGTGTAGAGGGTGGTCTCACAATGCCAGAAGAGTCAGTAGCAGAACCAACAAAACCTGTCGGTGAAGAACCAGGGGACGCAGCGAGCAGGCATCGAAGCCGCGTAATCTCCTGCTCAGTCAGGAGCTCAACTGAAGTGGTCGACTTAGATGCGCCGACGGTGAAGAGCCGGAGGCAGCCAGCAGATCGCGAAGTCGCACAATCTCCTGCTCGGTGAAGTACATAGCTGAAGGAGTCGACGCGGTAGCACCAGGAGAGGAGCGATCACCACCACCCGTGGAAGCCGCTAGATGTGGCGATGTAGCATGATCAGTAGCGTCCGCAAAGGCTGATGGAGGTGGAGGTGTAGAGCGACAATCACCATGTGTGAAGATCGCAGGAGGAGCCGCAAAAGAGCGACAAGCCCAGTCTATGAAAGACGCCGAAGGAGACGACGCCATAGGCGGACGGGCACCAAGCACTGAGGATCGATGCATGTGCAAGATAGGATCGGTATAGGGAACACCCCCAGAAGGCAACGAGCAGCAATGAGACATCTGATCAAACGAAGACGTACTCTTTTTTTTAGCCAACCCAACCAGTCAATCCCGAATTCCTGATCCACCGGAACACAGCGTCGCTGGATGCCTGGATGAAGCAGCCCAATGTCCAAAGTAGCAGCCGAGGCCTCGCTCAGATCGAGCGGGCGGCTGACTCGTGCTGCCGTGCACGCGCGTCTGTACAGCTGGATTCGACGAGGGCAGCGGGATCTGGTGAGGGCGGCCGAGACCAGCAGCTGGCGGCGGAATCCACTAAGGAGCGGCGCCGGCAATGGAACCAGACAACCAGTCGATGGAGGACTGGCAAGGACGCACCAAAAAGATAGAGCCGGGAGACCTGTAGATTCAGCCGAAGTACGCGGACGGGCGTGCAGTAGAGTAGGAGCAGCAATCGGCCGGGGAGAGACCGAGAAAGAGAGGCGCAGCGACGGCGGACGCACAAATTTTTGGATCGGAGGAGCACGAGTTGCGCGTGCGAAAAAAAAGCCTAGGCTCTAATACCATGTTAGGAATATGCAACTTAGTATTTCAATGAGGCCATAGGCCGATATATATACATGTACAGGTGTGGAACATATGCAGGAAACCCCTTATATAATGGGATAAATACAAAGGGGCACATGACTATATTATATATACTCTAACAACCTTAATGTTTAACTGTTTTGGTTTGTTGGCTTTTAATATCTTTTTCAGAGACAAGCAGCAGAAAAGATACCTGAGAAGATGATACAGTTTTCTAATTCAGCCATGTCTACCCTAAAAGAAGCTGATTTTTTCACTCCTGATTCCAAGGATTCTAGTGTCATTCATATGGATTTAGACCGCAGCTTCTTACCAGTACCTTCTCCACTGGGCGCCTCCATTTTAGCAAGTTTTGCTCGGCGGAACATCATGGATTTTGAAACTGACATTCGTTCCAGCATCGAACAGCTGGTGGGAGATAACTATGGTTTCCCAGGAGACAGTTGTCCCGACGTTACATTTAACAACCGTTCATGTGGCTTCTCTAAGGAAATTATATATGGCAGCACCTGTCTCACACTCTTCAACAAGCTTGTCCTTTGCTGTATGAGGGAGCAAGGCGCCTTCCTTTTCCCCATGGGCACCAATGGGCACTATGTCTCGGCAGCAAAGTTTATGAATGCAAAAACATTGACGATTCCAACAAATGTACGTTCAGGCTTCAAGATTGAACCGACCGCTCTAAGAGCAGCTCTGGATGATGCATATGAGAATGAGAATGTATGGCCATGGGTGTATATTTCTGGCCCTACAGTTAACCCTTCTGGTTCCCTGTACAGTGATGACGAGATAAAAGATTTGCTTTCCATTTGTGCTGAACATGGAGCTAGGGTAGTGATAGACACCTCCTCTGGTCTGGAGTTCGAAACTGGAGATGGCCGGAGCCTGTGGAATTTGGATAGTTTTTCTTATAATATTGCTTCATGTCTCGCACTCCGCGTTTTTATGCTTGGGGAGCTGTCCCTTCAGCTGACCATGAGTGGGTTTGACTTTGGGTTTATGATTTACATTGACCCGTCCTTGATCAAACATATGTTAACAAGCCTGAGTCAACCACACCGCACATTGAAGTATACTTTCAGAAAACTGTTGTGTCTTAAGAACAAGAGGGACCAGCGCTTCTCTGATCTCATTGAGGAGCAAAAGGAGACACTGAAGCATCGTGCCGATAAGTTGACTAAGGTTAGCTCTCTGTGACATTCTAAATCGCCCTCTCAAACTTTGTGTTCCCTCCCAAATCTTAGTCCAGAGATGGGAGATTGGCAGTTCAGAGAAGTCTTATGTTTGGCATGCACGCCCCTTTTTTGTTTTCATTTTCTGATTTCCTGCAATGAACAGACACTCGAGAGCTGTGGCTGGGATGTCGTCGGCTGCCATGGCGGTATCTCAATGCTGGCGAAACCAACGGCCTACATCGGCAAATCGTTCAAGATAGACACTTTCGAAGGCGAGCTCGATGGCTGCAACATCAGGGAAGCGCTCCTTAGATCCACTGGACTCTGCATATCCAGCAGCAAGTGGACCGGGATACCGGACTACTGCCGGTTCAGCTTTGCTCCCGAGAGCAGCGAATTCGACCAGGCGATGGACTGCATAACTCGGTTCAGGGAGTTGGTTCTAGGAGACAATGCACAGATGAATGTTAATAGTAGCTAGGGGTTAATTTGAGTCATCCTCATGGAAAGTAAAACCTGAAGAAATGTAGTAATGTTTTTTCTTTTATCTGCTTGGTAACTGATTATAAAATGGAAATGAGGTTTTCTGATGGAATTGCTGGCGAGTGGCTTATATTGTGGAGAATATAGAGGAGTATTCCTTCACTATGGGTATATCATAAGACCAAACCGGATGCTAACTACTTTATCTACTGGAATCAAATACTTCCACTAAATTTCATAAAGCAGACGGTTTAGTGGCTCAACTTTTCAAGATATCCTGAAAAACGTTCTTATATTATGGGACGGAGGAAGTAGTTATCACCGTCCCTGAACAATGAACTGACTTCAGCAGATTGACTTGCTTGATTTGTATCGCTTTACCTGTTAATCATGCTGTCAGCAGCACTACCATGTTTAACTGTGGGCAAGACCCCAACTTGTTGATTCAAGAACACCCAGTTCTTCTTAGATGAGACATCACTAAGGAAAGAATGCTGAAAGGTAACTTTCTATTTCTGTTCTACAATTATCTGCTTAAATTGCGAAAGAGTACCCAAGAAGCAACTTTATATCATACTCCCTCCGTCCCAAAATAAGTGTCTTGACCTTAGTACAACTTTACACTAAAGGTAGTGTTAGGAATAAGCAACTTATCTTTATTGAAGGCCCAAGGGGCATATATATATTACACAAGACTTGAGGTGCAAGGAAACTAAACATAGACTAATAAGGACTCCTAGACCAATACTAATACTCCTTAACACCCCCCCCCCCCTCAAATGCAAAGCGTATGCAATAGCATTGCATTTGAAGAAGTGTAATACTAAAAAAAATGATAATCCAAATCCGGGTCTTGAGAGTGTCGTCGTAGCATGAAGTGTCTTCAAAACCTGTCAAGTCGCCAAAGGGGATAACGAAGAGATGGCACATCAGACGAAGACACCGCACCAATAGAAGATACAATAGAAGTATCAAGAGAAGATGGGTTGTCAAAAGAAGATGGCCATCAAGAGAAGAAGCATTGCTTAAAGAATCATGGCCCATGAAAACCGACGGCGAAAGAAGCTCGGCGGCAAGAGAATGAGCTTAGATCAACAATGCAAAGAGAGGCCACAGAAATCCTATAGAGAGGACAATGACCAGAAAAAGGCTGACGGACAAAAGTTTGGTGGACTCGCATGACATGAGAAACACAAAATATCAACGGATTTGGTGGACACAGCAGAAAACAAGGAAGGTAAAATCTAGGAAGCATACACGACACAAAGATGCAAAATCCATCATGTATGCAGAAGACATTGGACTCCTTTTTTGTTGTTGTTGAAATCAAGATGGGAACGGAAAGACAACAGCTAGTATGCAGGAGCGAACTCAGCAGCAAAGCAGCAGCTATAGCACAGCAGCCTGAACGCAGCAGCACGCACATCGATCTGGAGCTGGACGAGGTAACCCGATCTGGCGCACAGGTGCGAACGCAGCACAGTAGCCAACCAGGCGAGGCGGGCTTTGATCCATGCAGGCGATCACGGCTGTGCAGGCGCACGTCATGGGCGCACTCATCACCAGTTTGGATCCAGCGAAGCAGCTGGGCGGCAGGTGCCCCGCGAACGACAGCGGAAGACGAGATCGACCCAGAAAAGAATAGATCGACCGAGAAAAAAAAAACTAGTGAATCGTAAGGACGAGTTGCGGCGTCCGGAGACCTAAACCTAGGCTCTAATACCATGTTAGGAATAAGCAACTTATCTTTATTGAAGGCCCAAGGGGCATATATATATTACACAAGACTTTGAGGTGCAAGGAAACTAAACATAGACTAATAAGGACTCCTAGACCAATACTAATACTCCTTAACAGGTAGTACAAAGTTGAGACACTTATTTTGAGACGGTGGGAGTAACAAATTGTTCGTGTTCCTTGGTACTGGGATATGGTTCTGACAATAATTTTCTTACTGACCCTCATTCTTCATGCATTAAAATCTGAAACATATCTTCTACAACAGAGTTTTTATCGCGGCTTGAATTGTTTCCGAAACTGGTTCAGTCTAGTGATGTGTCTAGGCAAGAATCTTCTTAGCTAGACGGTGGAAAGCCTTGTGCATTGTGGAAGGATTTATTCAAGGCAATGATATATATGTCTTTTTTGCAGTATATCAGGAAGTGTATGACCTGTATTTTAGTTTTTGCCCCTAATAGTGATTGGTATTGTAGGTTAGGTTTCTTCGATACCGTCTCTGACTAAATTTGAAAGAATCTAAGCCTGGGCTGTTTTAGTGCAGATTACTAGATGGAAAGGTGAAATTCTCGAAACTCTGAGGTAATGTAGTTGGTTCATCACAGAATTCTTGTGCAACATGGCTGCACTCTGGTGTTTTACTATGTTTATCACCCTTTCAATTAAATCTTGATGTTGGTATGACTCTCCGGTTACCCATGATTGCAGATCTGTACTGGCTATATTACTTGATATTAATACCTCTGTTTCCTACTGCTATAGGCATTAGACAGATAATGGACAACGGAAGAGCCTACGTCCATATATTTTTGAAGGTTTTTTTTGTTGGGGGGATTTTTTGTTGCTGATAGTTAGACCGTCATCTTTGAGTATCACGAGCATTTGATCACGTAGGTTTCAAAAAAGTCTTTACCCATACTGACATGCCACCATCAGATCTCCACAACAATTATTATAGTGTGGTCCTTAGTCCTTACTGAACCGCCATGCCATGGTGTTACTCACACTCTTTGCGCCTCACTAAAACTCGGTTATTTCTATTATGCACCGGATGCATGACTGCATGCGTGGCTCATGCTTCCTAAAGCCCCCCTTGAAATCAGGACTGGGATACTCAAAAAAGCTTCGCAGCTCAATGCAGCAATGGCGACTCTTTCTCTCCCTGTGGTACACCCGCAGGTCTCCCTCCGGCGACAAGGGTGGCGGCGGCTGCATGGCTTGCCAAGCTGCCAGTTCAGACACGCCGGGAGAGTGCAGTCCAGCTACAGGGGACTCGAAGCGCTGTACGATGATGGGTACGGGACGGTCAAGGGCCTGGACTACTACTATCAGGCACTCGGGCAGCTGGTGGGGTATGACAGCGGGCCGCCCTGCTGGTTATGCCCTGTCGATGCTGGCTCGACGGTCGAGGATGCTCCACTCATGCTGTATTTGCCAGGTAAGAAAATGTGTGGAAATGTTGTCTCATCGACAGCTTCCTATGTCTGTCTCTATGCATATCTTTCCAGTTTGTTGATGCCTGGATGTTTAGGTTAGTAGTACACTCTAATTTCAGGTGCTGATCTGGGGTTAAATCTGAATCTTTTCAGGAGTAGATGGGATGGGGATGGGGCTCTGCATGCACCACAAGGCTCTTGGAAGGTGAGATACAAAGGGAAGATTCCTTGTAAAAATTTATGGTGAACCCAGAGTGTAATTTTGATAAGTTTAAATATATTACACGCTTGGTTTTTCGTTTGCAGGATATTTGAACTTAGATGCTTGCACATTCCTTTTCACGACCGCACACCATTCGAAGGTATCAGATACCTGTGTATAACTGATTAATTTCTCTCCGAAGCATTTTGCATCTGAATTGAAAATTTGAGCTTACTTTAAGATTCAGAGTGAAATACGTCCGTTTGTTTTGAAAAGGAATATTTCATTTCTCCCTTCGTCCGCACCAAGAAGATGGACACACCACACAAAGCCATGTTTAGAGAAATGACCACCGGTTAACATGTGGCAAAAACAAAAGATGCTCAATCATTAAGTTCTAAAGATTAATTGTATGATTCTAGCTGCTTTTCATCTTCAGAACTTGTCACAATGGTAGAAGATGTTGTGAGAGCAGAGCATTCCACTTCTCCTAATAAGCCCATCTATCTATTGGGGAATTCCTTTGGAGGATGCTTAGCTCTTGCAGTTGCTGGTCGCAATCCCCGCATTGATTTGATATTGGTACTAGTCAATCCAGGTATGCAGGAAAACCTGATGGTATGTGAGTGAACCTTCCTATTTGTAAAATTTCTAATATACATTATCTTGTTTCGTCTCTCTTTTTTCTTCCGGGGAAAGCTACTTCATTTGAGAGGTCAGACATAAAAAAGCTTCTGTCAGTTTTCACCTCGAACAACGCCTATATTGCAATTACAGCTCTACTGAACTACAACATCGGTAAGTACCTTGTAGGGTCCAGCATATAAAATTGAAGAAATAACATGTATTGAAATGAGCTACTAGAAATTAACCAAGAACGGTGACGCATTTGTTGGACTTAAGGTTGTCTAATAATTAGCATGATATACACCTGTTTACATCTTTTCTTTAAGTTTTTTGTACTTGCTTCTTCTGTTCTTCCTGATCATGAGACCAGACAACGAGGTGAACATGGCTCTGAGTAGAATGCAAAGTGGGGAGCATCCTTTAGAAGCACTCGGCAGATTGACAAGTAACATGTCAACTTTTCTGAAGCAAACGGTGTGTAATATCAATTTCTTTGTGTCTTGTTTCTATGTATCTAATTTTATCAAGAGAATACATATTAAGGGAGAAAGCAAGTTAATAAATAGTTGCGTGCATCAATTGAAGCAGAGGCCAGAGGCTTTCTCCTTCTAAAAAAGCAAATTAAAGGAGAAAATAGTGTGGAAATGAACTTTTTCCGTACTATCTTTTTCTCACGTTTCATCTACCATTTTGTCCAGAATATGTGCATTTAACTGTTTTGAAGGTAAACCTGTGTGCCTTTAATTGCAGAATATACTGGACAAATTACCAGAAGACACACTAAAATGGAAGATGAAACTCATCAAACGGGCTGCGCAATATGCTAATTGCCGTATACAATCAGTTACAGCTGAGGTGCTACTGCTAGCCAGGTTTGTGCCCTTAAGCTCAGTTCTCTACTTCCAATTTCATCAATTTTTTTTGGAACGAGTGCAATTTCATCATTAGCTTTGCAGAATATTGTCGCATGATAAACACTACCACATGATTTCTACGTTTCTTGTTTGAACACGTATTTTTGTCGGATTTCTAACAAGTGGATTTATGGCATCATGACTGAGGTTCTTCTCTATGCTTGCACTCAGCTGCGATGACAACTTACTTCCGAGCAAATCTGAAGCCTACAGGCTACAGAACAAAATACCTAAATCCAAAATCTTCTTCTTTGAGAAGCATGGGCACAGCTTACTGTTGGTGAGTTATAGCAGACTTTATCAGATTGCAGTATATCTTGTGCACTGAAAGGAACAAGTGGTACACCTCAAAGGGACAATGCTAATGATATTCATCCCAAATTTCAGGAGCATGGTGTCCATGTCTCATCCATCATCAAATGTGTTGGTCTCTACCGCCATTCGAGGTGCCATCATCGGGTTTTCGACTACATCCCACCGTCCGCAACCGAGCTAAATGAAGTCGACAAAGCTAGCAGGTAACCAAAATCACCACCCTGCAAATTCTTACATGATACATGCTGAATACATCGATTGCACTGCCACATGTTATGCATTGGTAAATGCAGCGACCTGACGTTCAGAACGTGCCCGGCGATGTTCTCGACGTTGGAAGACGGCACGGTGGTACGGGGACTCGCCGGGGTGCCCGAGGACGGGCCAGTGCTGCTGGTAGGCAACCACATGTTGCTGGGGATCGAGCTCATCTCTCTTGCCGCAGAGTTCATGCGGCATAAGAAGGCCGTCGTCCGTGGCATTGCGCACCCGCTGCTGTTCCCGAAGAAGACGAAGACGTGGTCGGAGGGACACGACTTCTTCGACTTCCTCAACCTGTGGGGCGGTGTGCCCATGACCTACAAGTACATATACGAGTTGCTGGCAGCCGGGGAGTTCGTGCTCCTCTACCCAGGTGGTTACAGGGAGGCAATCCACTGCAAGGTACACAATACAATTTGATTATTTGATTGGGCTTTTATACTTTGAAATTCTGGCAAGTAAATGCTGCTATTATAAACTTATTATATTTAATCTTGTGGATTGTAGGGTGAAGAGCACAGGATTTTCTGGCCAGACCAGACTGAATTTGTTAGGATGGCAGCTCAGTTGAACGCCACAATCGTGCCGTTTGGAGTCGTCGGAGAGGATGACCTCTTGAACGTAGGCCATCACCTTTTATTTCTGGATTAAGTCCTCGCTTAATTTGCGAATAAACATTCTGCGGTCTTTTTAGGGGTTATTTGATTTCACAGTCGAATCAAATAGATGAAGCGTCCATACTTCCATAGCCAAGATTTAACAGTCCTGAAGCTGCTAGAGATCCAAAATTGTAAACACATGCATTGCATAGCAACTAATCAGCATTTCACTTAGCTAATAGACTCGTACTCACATATATACATTTGAAAATCCGCAGCTGCTTTGTACGTTCGACGATATCAGGAGCGTGCCTTTCGGCAGGGAGATGATGCGGGCCTACAGTAAGCATCTGAAGCTAAGGTACATTATCTCTCAGAAATCATGCTAGCTAAGATAAGTCCCTTCTCAGGTTCCAAGGTCAACAGCCAACAAGGTCCTTAAGTAACCTGTCTGTCTTTTGGCTGCTTCAGGGATGCCAAGCACGAGGTGATCTTCCCGGGCGTGTGCCTAAAGATCCCGGGCCGGTTCTACTACCGGTTCGGGAAGCCGATCCCGATGCGGGAGAGGCAGGACATCCTCACCGACCGGCGCGCTGCGACGGACCTCTACACGCACATCAAGTCGGAGGTGCAAGGCATCATCTCCTACCTGCTGGATAAGCGGGAGGAGGACGAGTACAGGAAGATCTCGCGGAGGCTCATGTTCATGGCTTCCCAGGGGTTCGACACCCAAGTTCCGTCGTTCGATCCTTGACGACATACACTAGTTGCCACATGGAATGAGAATGTAGCTACTGATTATTCATTTTTCGACCTTTGATCAGACATTTATGCAAAACAATGCTTTGTAATTTGTGAAGCTGAATTTTCAGCATTACTGTTCAAAAATTAAATTCGTGTCTGCACTCTGTCGACCATGATTAATTGTTCAGGCTAGGCAAGCTCGGATGGTGGGAGGCCATGGCAGCTGGTACTCATACGCCGGCCCGTTGGGGTACTTGCAACAGCATCATGCGTCATCAATCTCAATGGCGCCAAACCGTCACTGGCATGCATCTGAAAGCACAGTGCTTGCATCAAGTCAGCAACAGTTTAATACTCCCTCCTTATCAAAATACAAGACTTCTTTTATACAGTTTTGCTAGAACTCATCTAGATGAGATATAATTTGGTCTCATTCACCTTTTATAGTCATTGGATGTGATGCTATAAGATGCGTGTGTACTGATGTGGATTGTATTTGTTCTTGTTTTCAAAGTGAATGAGACCAAATTATTTCTCATCTAGATGAGTTCTAGGTACTCCCTCTTTTATATAAAGAGAGTATCAAAACACATCTTATATTTTGAGATAGAGGGAGTACATCAGAAATCCCAGAATTTATAAAGGAGACATGTAAAACAAGTCAAGCACCACAAATTACTTGTACATCAGGGAAAGCAAGCTCATCACGAGCCAAACGATCTTATTACTCACAACACAACACATGGAAATATATCAAGCATGACAAACGTCCTTGCTTTTCCGTTCTCCTCGTCTATCTAGCAACACAAAAGCACATCATTAACTCTTGGTAAAAAGATCAAGTAGCACAACCATGATCTAATTAATTCCACTAAAAAATTGAACTTCTCAGGAATTCTTTGCAAATACTCGTGCAAGTAACTTACAGAAAGATTAACTTGAGAGTCCAATTTATCTATATGGTTAAGTCTACACGTCTAACGAAATCATTCATTTCATATCAAGATATACATCGTGGCCAGTGGCATGCCGGGATCATAAATGAGTATCAAATCTAAACAAACAACCGAGTCAGGCACTACTACAAAAACAGCTATAGCCAATATGGACACTAATGACGCACTGTACATGTGGTGCGCCATTACTAAATACTAATGACGCACCATGTGTTGGTGCGCCATTAGTAATTTTTTTTAATTTTTTCAAAACTACTAATGGCGCATCGTGGGATGATGCACCATTACTAGTTCAACTAGTAATGGCGCACCATTCCCACGGTGCTCGCATTAATAATAGCTTAAAAAATGTTGGTGTACTTATGGGAAAGAACGATAAAGAAGTTAAACTGTCGGTTGGGGCACTTAAACACATGGAGATTGACCGTTTAAAGGTTTTTCCGAAGTGTAATAACACCCTATCTAACCCCGAAACCGAGGAGGATGATGAAGCGGATGCCAAATATGATGGTTCGCTAGCCTCCCACTTGGTTGGTGATATTACCGAGGTTGGTTTGGATGACGCAAGATCTGGGTCCATGTTTTGTGACTTCACAGCATCTTTACGGAAATCTAAATCACAATCCTCTAAAAAGAAACAAAAACCGCCCAAGAAGGCAAAAATTTCCACACAAATCCGAGTTTCCACATGAGAGGCATGTTTTGGAATAGCAGAGGTCTCTCAGACTTGGCTAAACATAAGCACGCCAGTGATTGTGTGCGAGAACACGAATTGGATTTTGTGGCAATTTCATAGGCTGGTAAATGTGACTTCCGCCCGCACGTCCTCGATCACCTATCTGGTGGTTTCGACTACACATGGCATAGTCTACCAGCTCGTGGAAGGTCCGGAGGAATCCTTCTTGGGATACAGACCACGACAATGGACTTGTTGGCCTTTTCGACCGGTGAATTTCATATCAAATTTCACCTACGAAACAGGGCTGATAATTTTACATGGAGCCTGGTCGCAGTCTATGGGGCTGCCCAACATGAGCATAAATCCGCTTTCCTTCGTGAACTGGTGAATCTGGCTAAGGATAACCCGTACCCAATGCTTATTGGAGGGGATTTCAATATCCTTAGATACCAGGAGGAAAAAAATAATGACCGCTTCGACGCTCACTGGCCTTTCCTATTCAATGCTGTGATTGATAGTTTGGACCTTCGGGAGGCTTGTATGTCAGGGCGGCAGTTCACCTGGGCTAATAACCGTTCTGTGCCAACGTACGAGAAGCTCGATAGGGTACTCATGGATACCGAATGGGAGCTAAAATTTCCTATGGTAACCGTACGAGCCCTAGAGAGAATCGAGGCATTATCGGATCATGCACCAATCGTTCTTGATTCTAATTCTACGAGCCATTCTTCCCGCCACCCTTTCAAATTTGAATTGGCATGGCTGCACCGGGAAGGTTTTGTAGAAATAATCAAGAAAGTTTGGGAGAGGCCAGCCATTGGTCGTACACCGATTCAGAGATGGAATAATAAAATAAGGGCCATGAGGCAACACCTCTCTGGATGGGCGAAACACATCAATGGGCTTTATAAAAAAGAAAAGCAGCGCCTTTGTACCATCATTGATGACCTCGACAAAATTGCAGAGACCCGCACCTTATCTCAACATGAGATTGAATTGAAAAATCAATCTAATGAGAAGGTTGCCCGTCTTCTGCGAGAAGAGGAGATCAAATACTACCAGAGGTCCAAAGCCGACTTCATCCTAATGGGAGATAGTAATACAAGATACTTCCAATTGCTCGCCAATGGTCGACATAGGAAGAAATGTATTCATAGTCTCCAATAGGACGAGGGGCGGATCGAAGGTCAAAGGGAGCTCAAAAAATATATCACCAGCTACTACAAATCTCTGTTCGGAGCGTCGGATGAAGGAAATGTTACCCTTGACGAGACCCGAACAGATGATATTCCACAAGTCACGACAGAAGAGAATGATATCCTCACGGCACCTTTCTCAGAGGAGGAGGTGAGAGCGGCGGTGTTCCAAATGGAACACAACAAAGCTCCAGGCCCTGATGGTTTCCCCGCAGAATTCTATCAGAATTTCTGGGATATCATCAAGGCTGACCTTTTAGAGTTGTTCAATTGTCTTCATGCCAATCGACTTGATCTATTCAGAATAAATTTTGGCGAGATTGTCTTGTTGCCGAAGATTAAGGAGGCTGAACGGATTCAGCAGTTCATACCCATATGTCTCCTTAATGTTAGCTTCAAGATTTTCACCAAAGTGGCTACGAATAGGTTAAACTTGATAGCTGACCATGTTGTCCGTCCATCTCAAACGGCCTTTATGCAAGGACGAAATATACTAGATGGTGTAGTAATCCTGCATGAGACCGTCCACGAGATGCACCGAAAAAACATGAGTGGAGTGATATTCAAAATTGACTTTGAAAAGGCATATGACAAGGTCAAGTGGTCTTTCCTTCAACAGACCCTAAGGATGAAAGGTTTCTCCGATAAATGGCGCCAGTGGATCCACAATTTTGTAACTGGAGGTAGTGTGGCCATCAAAGTCAATGATGATGTAGGTCATTACTTTCAGACAAAAAAAGGACTACGGCATGGTGACTCTATGTCCCCAATGTTATTTAACATTGTCGCTGACATGTTGGCGATTCTGATTGAGCGCGCCAAGCAGAACGGCCAGATTGCAGGAGTAGTGCCACACCTTGTGGATGGTGGCCTCTCTATTTTACAATACGCCGATGACACAATTCTTTTTATGGAACATGATCTGGACAAGGCTCGAAACCTGAAACTCTTGCTTTCAGCGTTTGAACAAATGTCGGGTCTCAAAATAAACTTCCATAAAAGCGAATTGTTCTGCTTTGGAGAAGCCGTTGAGGCGGCGGCCGATTATGCTGACCTATTTGGTTGCGCACATGGTCAACTCCCGATTAAATATCTGGGAATACCGATTCATTATCGACGCCTCACCATTGTGGAGTGGAAGCATGTAGAGGAGCGTCTAGAGAAACGGTTGAGTAGTTGGAAAGGAAAACTACTCTCAGTTGGAGGACGGTTGGTTTTGATTAACTCTGTCCTCACAAATATGGTTCTCTATATGCTTTCTTTCTTCCAACTCCCAAAAGGGGTCCTAAAAAGATTGGATTATTTTAGATCCAGATTCTTTTGGCAAGGAGACGGTGAAAAGAAAAAATACAGGCTGGCCAAATGGAGCGTGGTTTGTAGGCCGAAAGACCAAGGAGGGCTCGGAATTCATGACTTGCAGGTCAAAAATGAGGCCCTACTAAGTAAATGGTTGTTCAAACTTCTTACTGAGGATGGTGTTTGGCAAACCATGCTGCGCAACAAGTATCTAGGTCAAAAGTCGGTGTCCCAGGCATTTTGGAAACCTAGCGATTCGCACTTTTAGGCTGGCCTAATGGCGGCAAAGAAACATCTCTTTCGCTTTGGGTCTTTCACGATAAAGGATGGGTCGGAGATTCGTTTTTGGGAAGACATCTGGCTAGGCAATGCTAGTCTCCGAGAACAATATCCAGGCTTATACAACATTGTTCGTGATAAGAATAATACTATTGCGCAAGTGCTCGGTTCATTCCCGCCGAATATTTCGTTCAGTCGGGATTTGATTGGCCCCCGACTTGTGTCATGGCATAATCTTTTATCCCGACTGGATTCGATTAACCTGACACAAGGCCGGGATGTGTTTCGCTGGAACCTTACTACATCAGGGTCTTTCACTGTAGACTCTATGTATCGTGCGCTCACACATTCTGAGGTACCAGTGAGTAATAACAAGAAAATTTGGAAGTCTAAGATTCCACTAAAAGTGAAAATTTTTATGTAGTATCTTCGTAGGGGGGTTGTGTTAACCAAAGACAATCTCGCACGACGCAACTGGCAAGGAAGTAAGAAGTGTTGTTTTTGTACTCATGATGAGACAATCAAACACCTCTTCCAATGCAAGTTTGCGCGTTCTACGTGGTCAGTCATCCAAATAGCGTCAAATTTGTATCCGCCCACAAAT